GGTTACAGTGTAGTATAATGGTTAGGGAGCTGGGCTTGTAGCTCAGAGGTTACAGTGTAGTATAATGGTTAGGGAGCTGGGCTTGTAGCTCAGAGGTTACAGTGTAGTATAATGGTTAGGGAGCTGGGCTTGTAGCTCAGAGGTTACAGTGTAGTATAATGGTTAGGGAGCTGGGCTTGTAGCTCAGAGGTTACAGTGTAGTATAATGGTTAGAGAGCTGGGCTTGTAGCTCAGAGGTTACAGTGTACTGTAATGGTTAGGGGGCTGGGCTTGTAGCTCAGAGGTTACAGTGTAATATAATGGTTAGAGAGCTGGGCTTGTAGCTCAGAGGTTACAGTGTAGTATAATGGTTAGGGAGCTGGGCTTGTAGCTCAGAGGTTACAGTGTAGTATAATGGTTAGGGAGCTGGGCTTGTAGCTCAGAGGTTACAGTGTAGTGTAATGGTTAGGGAGCTGGGCTTGTAGCTCAGAGGTTACAGTGTAGTGTAATGGTTAGGGAGCTGGGCTTGTAGCTCAGAGGTTACAGTGTAGTATAATGGTTAGGGAGCTGGGCTTGTAGCTCAGAGGTTACAGTGTAGTATAATGGTTAGGGAGCTGGGCTTGTAGCTCAGAGGTTACAGTGTAGTATAATGGTTAGGGAGCTGGGCTTGTAGCTCAGAGGTTACAGTGTAGTGTAATGGTTAGGGAGCTGGGCTTGTAGCTCAGTGGTTACAGTGCAGTATAATGGTTAGAGAGCTGGGCTTGTAGCTCAGTGGTTACAGTGTAGTATAATGGTTAGGGAGCTGGGCTTGTAGCTCAGAGGTTACAGTGTAGTATAATGGTTAGGGAGCTGGGCTTGTAGCTCAGAGGTTACAGTGTACTGTAATGGTTAGGGAGCTGGGCTTGTAGCTCAGAGGTTATAGTGTAGTGTAATGGTTAAGGAGCTGGGCTTGTAGCTCAGAGGTTACAGTGTAGTATAATGGTTAGGGAGCTGGCCTTGTAGCTCAGAGGTTACAGTGTAGTATAATGGTTAGGGAGCTGGGCTTGTAGCTCAGAGGTTACAGTGTGGTGTAATGGTTAGAGAGCTGGGCTTGTAGCTCAGAGGTTACAGTGTAGTATAATGGTTAGAGAGCTGGGCTTGTAGCTCAGAGGTTACAGTGTAGTATAATGGTTTGGGAGCTGGGCTTGTAGCTCAGAGGTTACAGTGTAGTATAATGGTTAGGGAGCTGGGCTTGTAGCTCAGAGGTTACAGTGTAGTATAATGGTTAGGGAGCTGGGCTTGTAGCTCAGAGGTTACAGTGTAGTATAATGGTTAGAGAGCTGGGCTTGTAGCTCAGAGGTTACAGTGTAGTATAATGGTTAGGGAGCTGGGCTTGTAGCTCAGAGGTTACAGTGTAGTATAATGGTTAGGGAGCTGGGCTTGTAGCTCAGAGGTTACAGTGTAGTATAATGGTTAGGGAGCTGGGCTTGTAGCTCAGAGGTTACAGTGTAGTATAATGGTTAGGGAGCTGGGCTTGTAGCTCAGAGGTTACAGTGTAGTATAATGGTTAGAGAGCTGGGCTTGTAGCTCAGAGGTTACAGTGTAGTATAATGGTTAGGGAGCTGGGCTTGTAGCTCAGAGGTTACAGTGTAGTATAATGGTTAGGGAGCTGGGCTTGTAGCTCAGAGGTTACAGTGTAGTATAATGGTTAGGGAGCTGGGCTTGTAGCTCAGAGGTTACAGTGTAGTATAATGGTTAGAGAGCTGGGCTTGTAGCTCAGAGGTTACAGTGTAGTATAATGGTTAGGGAGCTGGGCTTGTAGCTCAGAGGTTACAGTGTAGTATAATGGTTAGGGAGCTGGGCTTGTAGCTCAGAGAGTAGATATAGGTTCATTTCCCTGGTAGGGAAGTGCTGTGGTACCCTTGCTGGTGAGTCAGTAGCGCAGAAATAGATATTCTTAGTTGCTCTGGATATGAGCATCTACTTAAAATAGGAATAATGTTTGAGTGTGACTACATAGTTTGGTACAAGTGTGTCTTGTTGGAGCATTGTTGAATATTACGTAACATATGTTTTTGTGTGCTTGATATGTTCAGTGATGGTGACTGAATCACAACAGTTCTTGTGAACTGCCTTGTGCTGTGAGCCGTGTGCTCAGTGAAGAAGAGGGAGACTCACAGACAGATTCTATATGAACTTACATCACGATCCAGTAGCTGCAGGAACTGAAATAATAGTTTGTATTCTCTGGTATGGTGACAAGATGTTTGAGGACGGGTCATGGGCGTGTGACTCATCTATCCAGCCCAACAAACTCCTGTTTCATTTGTTATATTTGAACCAGTGGCTTCCTATGTGGGCAAACAACATCTTTCTTGTATTTAACTGGTTAGAAATATTGTTTGCATCCTGAAATAGCTTTCACCAGGCTTATAGCAGAGCGATACAAACCTGGCACTATCACTCTGAACTGCACTGCTTTCACCAGGCTTATAGCAGAGAGATACAAACCTGGCACTATCACTCTGAACTGCACTGCTTTCACCAGGCCTATAGCAGAGAGGTATAAACCTGGCACTATCACTCTGAACTGCACTGCTTTCACCAGGCTTATAGCAGAGAGGTATAAACCTGGCACTATCACTCTGAACTGCACTGCTTTCACCAGGCTTACAGCAGAGAGATACAAACCTGGCACTATCACTCTGAACTGCACTGCTTTCACCAGGCTTACAGCAGAGAGGTATAAACCTGGCACTATCACTCTGAACTGCACTGCTTTCCTGTCGTATGGGATAGTAATGTTTGCAATGGTAAGGGAGCTGGATTAGTAACCCCAAGACTGCAGGTTCAAGTTTTATTTTTGGGCAAATGGACATCTAAATGGTCGGTGAGTAGAAATGTGCGTAAGTCACTCTTTATATGAGCACCTGCTCAGTGCTTAGATGTTTGTATCGTATAAGTTACATGAGTCAGGGACCAATACTTCCAACACCAAACAGCACCTCTTATTTATCCATTAGGTCCATACGGTGTTACTATTGCAATGAAGAGTTAGAACAGCTCAATATTTTGTCTGTTATTATTGTGATTGTTAGTCCTGCAGTGTGTCGCTTTCTTTTTCTTGCAGAATGACTTAGTATCATTCATCTCATTATCTATATCGTGTTCCTCTTTTGTGTGCGAACACCTTGATGAATTGGAAGCTGTTTAAACCACAGCAGTAGCTGAAATTGCCACACTCTCAAGATGTGATTATAAACGTCTCAACCGGTTGATTTTTCTGTGAAATTGAGAATAAGGTTGACTCAGGTTTTTCGATTGAATCCCCCGTTTCTTGTGGTTTCTTTGATTTGTAGCCAATAGACATTACTCAGTGCTTGAATTAAGGTTCGCAGTTGCAGAACTTCTTCTTGTTTTGAGCTGGTTAATGAGGACCGGTTGGGGACATGCAAAGTGTGAGATTTCAGATGAATGACAGAGATACGCGCAATTTTCCACACACTTGTGTTTAGTTTGGTTAGCTATAATTAGAGGCTGATGTCCGCACTGGTCAAGAGCTGTGAGCGGTGTGTACAGCCGGCTCAGAGCAGTGGAAAATACAGAGTAAATGTGCAAACTCAAAGCATGGTCGCCTCTGTGCTGCTTGGTGAGTCGCAATGGAAAGTTCCACCCAGGGTTTAAGAACTGAGACACTGTCCACAGGCCTGTGGTCCTATAGCCACCCAGAGAGAGGGCATCTCACACTTACACACCCATATGCAGTTGCACCGTACACATACACACACACATACACACATACACATTCTCACACATGCAGGTGCACACACTCACACACATACAGGTGCACATAGGTGTGTTCACATACACACACACACACACCCATATGCACATGCACTGTACACATACACACACACGTAGGTGCACAACGTGTGCGCGCACACACACACACACCCATAAACACACTCACATGCACATGCACACATACATGTTCACACACCCATACACACACTCACACACACATATGCAGGTACACATAGGTGTGCACACACCCATAAACACACTCACATGAACACACAATATACATACAGGAGCACAGTCAACCGTGCACATACGCACTCACACACTCATGCACGCACACATGCACCAATACACGCTCACACACATGCCTGCACAAACACGCATACCCACCCATCCACACATGTAAGCATACACACACTCACATATACACATTTGCAAGCATGTACACACACACATATATGCTAAGGGTGTGCATAACGCCAAATACTGTATTTGGAAATGCACAAGTATAACACAACTTAAACTAATAATATTTATCCAAATTTGGATTGTTCTCCTCCTTACTTTCTCACTGATACAGGGAGTAATGTGCGTAGCTCAGTCCCAAAGGGAAGACAGCACTCTGTAGTGAAGTTTGACAGGCTGCTAGCCAGAATCGAGCATGCAGTCGTACCTCTACCATACTCAATGAACAGCTGGGCTCAACATCAAAAACTTGTTGATCAGGCAAGCAGAACGCTCTATCGAATTGTCCAACCGTACCAGTAAAAATGGACAAGATGAAATGTGTCCACAGATAAATTTAATGAAAATGTTCATGGTGTGCGATCTAGCATGTTAGCTATGAGACCAGCGATTTGAAAACCGCCAGGTGTTCCATACCTGGGAGTCGAACCTGCAACCTCTAACTTGCAGCTGGTTTAATCTAAAAGAGGATAAATGAACTCATTATTTTGTTATGTTTGTCAAAAGATGTGTTCAGCATATAGAGTGTGGATAAGTATTATATTCATTCAGGCGCTGTAAAAGGAGATGGATTTATCAGGTTGAGTTCTGCCCACACACCAGAAGGGGATAGGTGTAAATTAAAGGCTAATTCCTCACGTACATTAGTCATTTTAGCTGACACTTTTATCCAAGGTGACTTACAATTGATTGGGCTAGCCAAGGGCCAATCTCCCCAGGGAGCAATGTGGGGTTAGGAGTCTTGCTCAAGGGCCCAACAGCAATGGTTTTCTTGCTGTGCCTGGACTGGGGTTTGAACAGGCAATCTCAAGGGTCCTAGTCATGTACCTTAGCCACTAGGCTACAGGGTGCACTAGGCTACAGGCTGCCCCCATAGTCGAAAAACCTTTTGTACATATGGAATCATCAGTGCTTGGAACACCTTCCACGTGATGTGGTAGAGGCAGAGACCGTTGGAGTGTTGAAGTTGAGGCTTGCCACAGTGCTGGACACTCTCCGGTCCAGTGGTTCTCAAGCTCAGTCCTCTTGCCTCAGTGTGTATGCTGGTCTCTGTTCCAACAGCAGCCACATCCTCTGAGTAACAGCAAGATGTCAGTTGACCTTAGTTAGACATAATTTAGGGGCCTCTGGGTAACCACAGTTACCCACCACAGTGTCAAAATGTTGCTTGATCCCCGGTTTTGCCGTCACTGGCCATGGTCAGAGGTCCCCTTTGGCGAGGCAACGACTGGCCAGCCTCACCTGGGATCCGATATGGGGCAAGCCAGCCAAGCTCGTCCGTTGATCTCATCACCATAGCACCCCCTCCGTCATGCCGGGGACCTGTGGTGGCACGAACTGACGTTACGCTGACCGCGTCATCCTCCAACGTCACAGGCAGTGTGCGATTAGCGGGAGGAGGAGTCAACATGCTCGACTTTCCAGAGGCACAGCGATGAGGCCAACCAGTTCAGCTGAACAAGCTTGGGTTGGGAAGAACGGTAAAAAATCGGGGTAAAGATAATTTAAAAATAAAAAATTCGACAAAACGTGGTTAGGAATTCTGTCAGAAGCAGTCCCATATTTCACAACACAGGTCAGATGCTTTCATTCTCTTATTGTGCTGTAAGGCGAAGGGTTTCATTGAGCGAGGGCACATTTTAATCGATTAAATTATACATAGACAGGTGGATCATTGGAATCCTAAGAAGTAAGTGTGGACACCCGATCGCTAAAACTAAACTATTTGATAGACACGATGAAAGTATAGTCACTTGAAATTAGTCATGAAAACACTGATTGAAACATGAGGAAAGGAAATGGCAGTGAGCCCAAACCCACATTGTGTTGTAAGTTTAAGGGAAAAACACTATAGCATATCTTATTCAAATGCATTCAGCAATATTCATTCATCAAGCGATCGGCACAGACAAAAATCGGCGTACGCAGGGGGGCTCAAGGGCAAAGAACACTTTTTTCCGTTGTATATTCCTATGCTTACTGTTTCAATTGCTATTCATTAGCTTTCAGATATGTATTTAATTATGGATCTCAGCTATCAGGACAGTGAGATATTTATAAATTGTATCCATCAAGCACGGAGACACAGACACTGTATTGGCTGCCTCTAGCCGTTATGAATTGTGATGTTATGTTCAGTAGTCCAAAGGGGCTGGAGTTGGACATGGGGGCGTGGTTATTGTCGCCCCTCCTCCAGCAGGGATGTTTCGGGGGGAGGGGTTGCTAAGTACAAGGCACCTGTGTGTGTGTGTGTGTGTGTGTGTGTGTGTGTGTGTGTGTGTGTGTGTGTGTGTGTAAATAAGAGTCCCACAATGTCACTCTCAAAGGCAAATCCACTGTGCATTGCTGCTGCTCTGGAGAGAAGTACAGAATTGGCAGACAGACAGGCCTAGAGGTTTTATGTGGCGAGGTTGGAGAGAGTTTTTCATCTGTTGTGTTTTCATTATTGTTAAATGATTGCTTGTCGGCGCACTTTGTGCCATCCTGCTTGAAGGAATGAACAATAAAGAGAGTTTTGTCTGGGCCCTGTTGGACGCGGTGTACGGGGTTTTTGGCTTTTTTCCGCTCTTTGATCTTCAGAGCCCTGGCTGTCACTGTCACACTTCTGAAGGTGCTTGTAACACCCATTCATTTTACACATGCCTTTAGCTGCTATGGTGCTGCTGTCACTTATCTCTACTATTTTCAATTAACCCCACTGCTCCTGTCAGTGGTGTCGATAAATATTATTGTTTGTGTCAGTTATCCAAGCTGGTACTGTCAGTTAACCCCTACGATGTTGTCAGTTAACTCCACTGCGACTGTCAGTTGTGTTAGTAATCCCAACTATGAATGTCAGTTAACCCCAATGCTACTGTTGGTTAGCCCCACTGCTGCTCTCAGTTAACCCCATTGTTTATGTCAGTTAAGCCAGCCCCTAATGTCAGTTAACCCCACAGCTGCCATAGGTTAGCCACACAGCTGCTGTCAGTGTTTCTGTCAGTTAACCTGTTTGCTTCTGTCAGTTAACCCCACTGCTGCTCAAGCCCTGAATTTAACGCAGACGTGCACCTACATAAACAGTGTATCTTAGAAGGTGATTTCTAAAGTAATTCAGAGTGTCCACTGTGATGTCGGATGACTGATTTGTCTCTCTGGCTCCCGCAGTTCTGCCTGCTGCATGGCACCAGCCTGGTGTACCAGGAGAGAGCGTGGTACCTGGAGCATAGCTACCTCACACCTTCTACCAGCAAGATGATCCGCACCCAGGTGAGCCCCTAACCATGAGCCACACGCAGGTATCACCTATACTCAGGTACCACCCACAGCCAGGTAAGCATCTAACCATGAGCCACACGCAGGTATCACCTGTACTCAGGTACCACCCACAGCCAGGTAAGCATCTAACCATGAACCTCACTCTGGTATCACCTGTACTCAGGTACCACCCACAGCCAGGTAAGCCTCTAATGTTAAAACGCACAGGTATCATGTACACACAGGTAAGACCTACAGCCAGGTATAAGATAGATGAGCTCCACAGGTAACAGTCATCTAAGGCTTTATAACCCTAAACCAGGTAAGGCCCACAGTCAGGTAACAGACAGGTAGTTGCCTAACCATTACCCACACATAGCTAAATGCTAAATAAACTCTGTAGTCAGGTATCAGTCAGGTGAGACCAAAAAGCAGGTACCTGTCAGGTTAGACACTATCAGTCCTGAGGGAAGACCCAGCCTATGCTACCTCCACTGCAGGGTGCAGATTACTGACCCAGAGATTATAAGACTTCAGACAGCCAGCCGTTTCACCAACCCATCCATCAATCAACAAACCAACCAATCAAGCAGTCTTTTCCTGTATGTGTCATACCGCGTGTCACAATGGACGTTTTCCAAAGGGAATCGAGAGATGGACACGCAACTCCTTTAACATGGTTTTGCAACAAATTGGCATGACCATGTCAAAGTCGCGCCGAACAATACACAGAAACGGCGTAAACAAACAACTCGTATCAATGAGCTCTCAGAAATCGTATGAGAACAAAGAAATCGGGAAAACCCCTAAAGCGAAATAGACATGGCTTGTACAGTTACACCACCCATAGTGTGTCATATGGATATAAGAGGAGGGGGTGGAAGTCAGGCTACTACACAAACAGGCCCTGTTCACAGTGTTTGCATTTGTCCTTTTTTCGGGGAGTTCCCTCTGAAATTGTACCCCCCTCCTACCCAATTAGGGGTTATTTAACGCCTGTTTCTGGCCGAAATCCCCCTACCAGATGACAGACAGCGGGCGGAAATCCATAAAACAACTTTGAAGTGATTTTCAGAGATGTGTCCTCACATGGGAATAAAACATATCTTCCCATCTTATTATCTTAATAGGACCTATTACATTCAATTGCATGTTAGGCATTTGGCAGATGCTCTTATCCAGAACAGATAGAATAATGCAATTTGCATGTTTATCCATTTGTACAGCTGGATATCTGCTGAAGGAACATGAGTAAATTACTGTGCTACAAGCTGACCTACAAGCCCAGCTCCCTAACCATTACAGTACACTGTAACCTCTGAGCTACAAGCCCAGCTCCCTAACCATTATACTACACTGTAACCTCTGAGCTACAAGCCCAGCTCCCTAACCATTATACTAGACTGTAACCTCTGAGCTACAAGCCCAGCTCCCTAACCATTATACTACACTGTAACCTCTGAGCTACAAGCCCAGCTCCCTAACCATTATTCTACACTGTAACCTCTGAGCTACAAGACCAGCTCCCTAACCATTATACTACACTGTTACCTCTGAGCTACAAGCCCAGCTCACACACACAGAGCTGAGTCATCTCCTTATATGAGAGGGTCTTGCGGGAAGAGATAATCTCTCCTGCTTCGTGCGTATGAGCCCTGCTCACGTTCTCACACACAAATACACACTCAAAGCTAATCTCCTCTCCTTTGTGTGCTCACGCGGCTCCTTTCATCTCCCGCTAAGCGTCCGCTAACATCATCGGGACGTCGGGAGAGGAGATCAGACATGAAAGAGAAGGGTCACCCCCCCTCCCTCCCTCAGGAAAAGGGCAGCGGTGAGGCTAAGGCAGGCTCCGCTCTTAAATCAGCAGCTTGCTCAGAGAGAACTCCAAAAGCAGAGATTAGCCCCGCCGGCGGCCAGATAAGATGGGTTATGCAAATAAGTCACTGCGGGGCGCATTCAAACCCCACCGTAAACCTCAGAAAAACTGACAAATTACTCGAGACACGGGGATAATTTAGGGCCACCCGCGGCCTCTTTTGTTTCATCTTTTACCGCGGAAGCCTTTTCATTTTTTTTCTCTTTTTTTTTAAGTGTTCAAGTATTTTTGCGCTCCCAATTAACCAGTGTGTTATCCAGGTGTTTAAACACGTTCGTAGTGTAAACACGTCTCAGAGGCCATCATAAAAGCAGAGCAAATTCTGTGAAAGGGCACTAAAAGACCTTTGGTCTGTACCTGTTGGCCCTGCCCCCCAGGAAAAAGAACCGTTATGTATATGAGATGCATTTAAATGAGTACAGTCACAGCAGTGAAATAAATCATTGCACCTGTTACATGTGGTGCAGTAGTTACTGTACATCAATGTGGTTCAGTTCCTGGTCCTGGGGCCGCAGGGTATGCTGGTATTTGTAGTCTTTGTTGTACAAGTACAAGCTGCTCCCCTCCAGGACTGGAGTTGATTAATACTGAACTGTATTCATATGTATGTGGCATCCTGTCTGACAATGAGATGCGCAAAAGAATCTTAAATTCATGTTCATTACATGAATAAAACATTTTTAATACCTACTAATTCTATAAACCCTAGAGGGAGTATGAAGAACCAGTCAGCTTGTG